ACGGAAGAAGCTTTGCTCTGATACCATATTGAAAATAAAAGAAGGTAAACCTGCTGGAATAGGCAGGGAAGAAGATGAACATTTTATTCAATCAACTTGAGATTACAATGCATACAAGAGGAGTATTTATAGAGTAAAATGGCTAACTAATCTATCAACTAAACTAACTAACTAACTAATATGATAACTAAATCACAGCTGGAAGCATGTGCTGGAGAAGATGGACGAACAGGATCAGCTCAGGTTTGGATTAGGATCCGTGTGATGTGTTTCTTTATTCTAATATTTCTGGATCTGTTTTATTAATTTAGACAATGTTTATTAATTGAAAGCTTTAAATTAGTAATTTTGACCTGGTATCATCGCGATGTGAAGAAAGGTCCTGATCTTTGTTTGCTACGGATCCAACTTTCCTCATGAGGTTTCTATTAAACCTTACAACTGTTGGCCGCGGTTGATTATTCGTCTCGCCCAATTTATTGTTTTCCGAAATTGACGACAAAGACGGACTCCACTCACCGGCGCCGCCGCCCCCGCCTCATACCCATCACCTTTCCCCGCTTCCGTCCGACGCGGCGGCGATCTTTCGTTGCCACCAGCAATTTGGATTCCTCCGCTGGCTGCCGCGATTCCGACTCAGTAGATGAAGAACCATAACATGTGATCAATGAAGAACCATAACATGTGATCAATTCTAATAAAGACTTCATATTTACACACACAGTGGAAAGTTGTAGTTATGGTTGCAATGCAGTGTTTATATAGAATAATAATTGGGATACCCTCCAATTAATTAGTGTTCAACATTACCTTAAGGGTCTATTTGACTGGAAAATTGGTGGAAATAAAATGAATTTTAGAGAATTGAATTGCCTAAAAATTGTTTTACTGAGAATTATAATTAATTGTATTTGATTGGTTTAATTTTTCACGTGGAAAATATTTAAATTTTGAATCTTTTCGTGTTCGTTTGACTTTTTTTTTTTTTTTATAGAAATTGTCCATTAAATGATTTTTTTTTTTTTTTTTTTTTACAATTGGTGATAAAATTTGTTTCCATTGCCACCAAAGAAAAAAAAGTAAAAAAAAAAAAA